CTGGTTGGATCTCCTTGCAGTCCAAGGGACTTTCAAGAGTCTTCTCCAATGCCACAGTTCAAAAGCCTCAGTTCTTTGGCGCTCAGCTTTCTTTATAGTCCAATTCTCACATCTATACATGAATACTGGAAAAACCATAGCCTTGACTAGACAGACCTTTGTTGGCAAAGTAATATCTCTGCTTTTTAATATACTGTCTAGGTTGGTCATAACTTTTCTTCCAAGGAGTAGGCCTCTTTTAATTTCATGGCTGCAGTCACCATCTGCAGTGATTTTGGAGCCCAAAAAAATAAAGTCTCACTGTTTCCATTGTTTCCCCATCTATTTGTCATGAAGTGATGGGACCAGATGCCATGATCTTAGTTTTTTGAATGTTGAGCTTTAAGCCAGCTTTTTCACTCTCCTCTTTCACTTTCAAGAGGCCCTTTAGTTCTTCTTCGCTTTCTGCCATAATTGTGGTGTCATCTGCATATCTGAGGTTATTGATATTTCTCCTGGCAATCTTGATTCCAGCTTGTGCATCATCCAGCCCAGCGTTTCTCATTACGTACTCTGNGCCCATCTTTGCATGAAATGTTCCCTTGGTATCTCTAATTTTCTTGAAGAGATCTCTTAGTTTTTTTCATTCTGTTGTTTTCCTCTATTTCTTTTCATTGATCACTGAGGAACGCTTTCTTATTTCTCCTTGCTCTTCTTTGGAACTCTGCATTCAAATGGGAATATCTTTCCTTTTCTCCTTTGCTTTTTACTTCTCTTCTTTTCACAGCTATTTGTAAGGCCTCTTCAGACAGCCATTTTGCTTTTTTGCATTTCTTTTCCATGGGGATGGTCTTGATCCCTGTCTCCTGTACAATGTCACGAACCTCCGTCCATAGTTCATCAGGCAGTTGGTCTATCAGATCTAATCCCTTGCATCTATTTCTCACTTCCACTGTATAGTCATAAGGGATTTGATTTAGGTCATACCTGAATGGTCTAGTGATTTTTCCCTACTTTCTTCAATTTAAGTCTGAATTTGGCAGTAAGGAGTTCATGATCTGAGCCACAGTCAGCTCCCGGTCTTATTTTTGCTGACTGTATAGAGCTTCTCCATCTTTGGCTGCAAAGAATATAATCAATCTGATTTCAGCATTGACCATCTGGTGATGTCCATATGTAGAGTCTTCTCTTGTGTTGTTGGAAGAGGGTGTTTCCTATGACCAGTGAGGCGTTCTCTTGGCAAAACTCTGTTAGCCTTTGCCCTGCTTCGTTTTGTACTCCAAGGCCAAATTTGCCTGTTAACTAGGTGTTTCTTGACTTCCTGGTTTTGCATTTCAGTCTCCTATAATGAAAAGGACATCTTTTGGGGGTGTTAGTTCTAGAAGGTCTTATAGGTCTTCATAGAACCATTCAGCTTCAGCTTCTTCAGCATTACTGATTGGGTCATAGACTTGGATTACCATGATATTGAATGGTTTGCCTTGGAAACGAACAGAAATCACTCTGTCGCTTTTGAGATTGCATCCAAGTACTGCATTTCAGACTTGTTGACTATGATGGCTACTCCATTTCTTCTAAGGGATTCTTGCCCACAGTAGTAGATATAATGTTAAATTCACCCATTCCAGTCCGTTTTAGTTTGCTGATTCCTAATACGTTGAAATTCACTCTCACCATCTCATTTTTGACATCTCTTGGACTTCATAGTGACTCCCTAACCACCACTTTTTCAGTATTAGTAGCAGAGTGTTATGAATAATTTAGTTACATTTTGGAAGTCTAGGATCCTTAGTGTTTTCTGTACAGGGTTATTGAGAAAAAATAAACTGTTGAATATATATTTTTGGCCTTTGGTATTTAATTTAGAGTTTATAGACTACAACAGTTGGGAAGTTACTGGGATATTAATTTCATGTGCTGCTGATCGTGGTGTCGATACTGAGGTTTTATTCTAGTAGATGTTTACAGTGTCGTGTGACGAAGACAGTGGTTTTACATTTATAGAACCTTTTACTGGTAGACCATGTTGATACCAGCATAAACTCTGGAAAATCCACATTTTTTCAGTGACCAGAGGGTCACGAAGAGTCAGACACGACTGAGCGACTGAAGTGAACTATAAGGTTGGAGAGCTAAAAACAGGAGGCTAAAAACACGTTCAGTGGTTCATTTTTTTCTCTATAACTCTGTATAGAAAAAAACTAAGGTTGCTAGACTTCCAACATGTAAGTAAATTATTTGTGACACTCTGCTACTAATAGTGAAAAAGTAGGAGTTAGGGAGCCTCTATGAAGTCACCTGTGACATCACAAGGTCCACGGTGAGGTCCTGGCACAAGGCCTACCTCTCTCAGGGAAGCACTGAGCTCTGTGCTTCCTTCCAGACCTAAGGTTTTCTGAGCACAGCCAGGAACTTGGTGGATATTCAGGAGGAATAAACTGATTGCAATTTAAACACCTAGTGTATTCCCTCATACAGCACATCTAAGTGTTCTGTGTTAGACAGTGATTTCTTTTTTTTTTCTTTTTTAAATGTGGTATGCTTCATGAATCTGCATGTTATCCTTGCTCAGGGGTCATGCTAACCTTTTCTATATCGTTCCAGTTTTAGCATGTGTGCTGCTGAAGCGAGCACTGTAAAGTGATGTTAAAAGAATAACCTCAGAATGATTGGAGTAGAGGGAAGACATGCAGTGAATTTGACCTAAGTCCAGTTATGTCACCCTCATTTCATTGTCATACCTTCTAAGACTGGTATTGTCGTGTTAACTTTGTCACAGAGTGAAGTTAGACATGTCTGCCACCTCCTCTTGGTTGGTGGTTCTGTTGTTCTAGCCTTGGCTTCAACTTCCCTTCCCTAAATAAACCATTGTGAGTCTTTCTCTACATTTTGTTGTTGTTTTTTTTTTATTTTACCATTTTATTTTGCCGTCAGTGTGTCTGAAGGTTCCTATGTCTCCATATCTTCACCAGCACTTGTTATTATTTGTCTTTTTCATTATAGCCTTACTGTAATGCTGTACTGTGAAGCAGTGTGTTGTTATGTTTTGATTGGCATTTCCCTAATCATTAGTGATGTTGAGCATCTTTCTGCGTGTTTATTGGCCAATTACATATATTTGTGGAGAATTATTTATTCTTATTCTGTGCTCATTTTTTTTTTTNTGTTCCACAAAAGCCCAGAATAAAAAGCCGCGCCTGCTTTTTGTGCCTTCCCCGTCCGAGCGGCTCAGGCAGCCAGGAGCTTGATGGGCGCACTCTCCCCGGGTGCGGCGCGCCTTCTCCCCTCCTTGGTCCCAGTCTCAGTTTCCGTCCGCGCTAGTTGGGTGCGTGCGCCCTCTGCCCTTCCTCGTCCCCAGCCCCAGTCCCCGCCCGCGCAGGTCGGGTGCCTGCGCCCTGTGTCTTGCCGCGACCCTCCCGGCGGATGTCGACCATCCAGAATCTCAGGAGGTCTTTGATTAGAAACTGGTGGCCTGTTTGCAGTGTGGTAGGGGATGCGGTCCTTGGGGCCGAGCCTGCCCCTTTCCCCGCCCCCCTACCTCCTGCCTCCTGCGGGGCTGGGCCGGTCTGCAGCCTGCAAGCTCTTCTCTGGACTTGCTCGGTCCCTTTGTTCTGCAAACGGCAGGCAGTGTGTTCGGGCCGCTTAGTTATCTCTCGCTATCCCACAGTTTAAGTTGGTAACTTACAAAAGCTCCCTCCGATTGTCCTCAGGGCACTCAGGCCCGGTCCTTACCCTAAGCATTGCCGCCCTCTCCTCTCCGTTCCACCCCCACTTGCTGGTGGCGGATGCGGGTGTCTGGGGTACTTTTCTGCTGGGAGTTGCTTTTAGGCAGGTAATCTGTGGGTTTTATTTATTGTTCCCCTCCCAGTCGGGTTGCCCTCCGAGATTCAAAAACTTCCCCCAGTCCCGCCAGTGCGAGGGTTTCCTGGTGTTTGGAGACTTCCTCTATTGAGACTCCCTTCCCAGGACGGATCTCCGTCCTTACGTCTTTTGTCTTTCTTTGTATCTTTTATATTTTGTCCTACCTCCTTTCAAAGACAATGGGTTGCTTTTCTGGACGCCTGATGACCTCAGCTAGCGATCAGAAGTTGTTTTGTTAAGTTTGCTCTGCGTTCAATTATTCTTTTGATGAATTTGTAGGAGAGAAAGTGGTCTCCCCGTCCTATTCCGCCATCTTGGCTCCTCCTCCTTTCTCTACATTTTGGAAATTTTAATTAAACTGAATTGTTAATACTGAGGTTTAAATTCATGATTATTTTATGCTTAATAAAGATGAGTTTGATATCTTTTCATCAGTTTCTGAAGTATTTTAAGAAAAATTCTCCCACTAGAAGCTTTATATGCTCCACTAAAATGTAGTGGTTGAGCAGAGGAAAGGGGACAAATTAGTACCCTGGGAGCCCTGGCACTGTTGGAGCAACAGGGTAGATTTAGCATCAAAATCTGCATCTCACAGGTGAAGGTAGCTATCTGAAAATACAGTCAGGCATTTACTACAATTTGAATAGTCCATTAAATGTTGGTATCCTTTCAGAACATTGCATTGAGTCATAAGTCTTAATTTTATGTTAATACTACTAGAAAAGTCATCTTTTAAAGGAGGAAAAAAAGTAACTACCTAAGACAAGACGAGGATGGTTACATTTTAATTAATTGACATCTAAGAGCCTTTGTCAGAGTCACCCAGTGGTGTATTGAGAAGTAGTGACTCTTTCCTCAGTGTATCCGGCATTGACTGCTTCAGAATGTTAATGGTTTTATTTTGCCAATGAGTCTAAACAGGGAAGGTAATCTCCCTGAGGTTCCAGGAGTCATCACAAACTTGTGTAAGCTCCTTCAGTACTTTTATGTCAAATTTAAATTAGTATAGCTGACCCATTTTAAGAAATCCCTTACTACTTAACAGTAGATAAGCCATTGGTGTCTGGTAAATACAGAAACAATATTGGCTCTAGATATTTAGAATTAATTGTAAAACATTTAGAAAAGCATGCACAATATGTATCTTTTGTTTCATGCAGTTGCTGTGATTGGCTGATAAATATTTGTCAAAGAAAGAGAGAATTGAAAGCTCGTACGGTGTGGCTTGGATGTCCGGAAAAGTGTGAAGAAAAACATCCCAGAAATTCTATAAAAAATCAGAAATATAATATATTTACCTTTATACCTGGGGTAAGATTGTTAAATTCTTGAAAATGCACTGGATATTGGAGGTTACTAACTTTGTTCTCATTTTTTTTCTCTCATTAATTCTGTCATATCCAAATCAGAGACCTTTGAACCATGGGTGTTCAGATAATTGTGAAATAATTCATATACTTCTCCTCTTCTTTTTTTGTTCTCATGTATGTTATTAATAGCCACATAGTAGAGTTCAACTCAAGAAAATTTGTAGTCTGATTATTGCCTTCAGTTCCAGATAACCATCACATTTATATCATTGTAGAAATAATCAAATAAAGGTAAATAAAATTACCAGAAAATAAGTCATAAATTTTGACTGGGAATTTGTGTGGAGGGAAAGGTTGAGTGTATATAACATTTAAAGCCTGCTAAGGCTGTCACTCAGGCGCATTTCTGGCTCAGTCTCTGTGGCGTCTCTGGGTCCTGCTGCACACTAGGTTTGTTTGAGCCCTCTGAGCGTCTCTGTTGGGTAAGGGGTTTGATTCTAAATGCGATTTCACCCCTCCTGCCGTCTTGCTGGGGCTTCTCCTTTGCCCTTGGATGTGGGGTATCTTTTTAGTGGGATCCAACATTCTCCAGTCGACAGTTGTTCAGCAGGGAGTTGTAGTTTTAGAGTTCTCGCAGGAGNCTGAGAAAGATTGAAGGTGGGAGGAGAAGGGGACGACAGAGGCTGAGATGGTTGGATGGCATCACTGACCCAATGGACATGAGTTTGAGTAAACTCCGGGAGTTGGTGATGGACAGGGAGGCCTGGCGTGCTGCAGTCCATGGGGTTGCAAAGAATCAGACACAACTTAGTGACTGAACTGAACTGAACTGATAAAGTCCAGTGGTGTCACAATCAAAGTAAAATAACTTTTTACACAAACATGACTGAGTAACAAAATATCTATAAGCACTTTTAGATTTATTTTCTACTTCACATTATACATTTCAGGCCTTGTTTTGTTTTTATATCAGTAGTTATCTTTAATTAGGTATTATGCTAAATTTAAATTCTGAAATTTAAATATTTATTACTTTTTGTTGTTGCCAGTGATATTTTTGTCTTAAATTATAAAGCTGAGATTATATGTATTTAGAATAGTTGGTTTATTTTTGCCTCATTCCCTATTTTAATAGATTTATTTATCTTTCTAAAGGTGAAAGAAAGCTGGTGCTGATTATTTTTCCATTATCGAAGTTTTTAACACATTTTAAGTATTAGGTCTTACGCTCTTTTGCAAAAAATACTCAATTGTGTGAAATGAGGGCTGCTTTAGCTTTCATGTTTTTATTTAAATAACCATGCTGACTTTATATTGGACATTGATTAGCATCGCTATACACCCGAATCTATCCAATAGTTGTTAGATGCTTGATGTCTAATATGCTTTTTTATTAAAACACACAAAACTAATGCCTCCATAGTTAAAAGACTGCTCTTTTGTCAGGACAATTAAATGTAAACTGTCTTCCAGGCAGATAAATATCCTCATCTTTATTGAATGAAGCTACTGTTTTCTCCTTAGGTTTAAATTATTAAATACTCCCAGATTGGCTAAATACTGTACATTTTCCTGACGCCCTCTGAGTTCACTCAGCAAACAATAGAGTCTTGATTGCAGTGTCCAGAGTGAGCAGTGCAGCTTAGTTTTGGTCCCAAGTGAGTTCAGGCAGCCTTCAGGATGGTTGTCCTGAAGAGACCTGTTGATGTGTCTGTACTACTGTTACCGTGGGAATGACTTTTTCCTTAGATTATCTCTTAAATTAGTCTTTTCATCTAAAATGTAGTATTTTAGAAACATTTGGTAATTGCACAGTAGGAATTCTATGCCATTTTTAGCACGAATGGCAATTTCTGAATTGCTAATAGATATAATTTATGCTAACTGAGATTTTAAAGAAATCACTGAGGAAAAAGAGAGCTTTCTTTCCTGCTGAGATTAATTTATGAAATGATTCAAAACATTTTAGACAGCAATTGAATGTGATTATAAATATAAACGTGTTATCAATGTAACTGATTTTTCAGTCACACACATAATTGTGTGATGATGTATACAGCTTCATTATATAAAAACTGTGATTCCAGCCTCTTTAAGTCAACAATAAGTACTTAACCCATTGCTCTGCCCTTGTTAAAATTTGCATGCCTTCCAAGTTGTATTTAAAACTGGCATCCAAGGAGATTTTGATTTACAGTTTGCAAGTTTGTAAGTTTCATTATAATTGTAGTGTGCTATTTAAGGTATTCCCATCTATAAACACAAGTTTTCTTCCATTTTGATTTTCAATTTAAATCTAATAAGTGAGGCATTTTTGGATAGAAGTCTGTTAATATACTAGGTCTTGGATTTTCTTAAGGATTATTCTGTTTGAATTAAGAAACAAAGATGAAAATATAGGATTTGCATTCCTAAAAGATGTTATTGAATGATGATTTTAATTTAGTTTATATTTGAAAATATTGTTTAAAATCAACTACCAAGAGACTATAAAGAAATACAGGTAGTTTTCTTCATAAAAATTGGTGTATAATTTACATATTTTTATGTGTTTTCATTTCTTATACTTTGAGGGAAGTAAATGCAAGAGATTAGTGTTTTTATGTGTGTGAATGCATACCTATAGATGACTTGCTTATTCACTGGATCTTTTTGAAGCTACCTAATGTTCACATTCAGAAAATGTGGCTGTCATGTTTGAGTGTTTCAGTTCAGTTCAGTCACTCAGTCGTGTCCAACTCTTTGCGACCCCATGAATTGCAGCACGCCAGGCCTCCCTGTCCATCACCAACTCCTGGAGTTTACTCAAACTCATGTCCANGAGGAAAATGCAATTCTCTCTGCCAAAAAGGACCTATTTTGTATGAAATCATGTTGGTCCACTGAAATTAGGTCATTTCAGTGAATTTCATGACCTTACCTTTAGTCATATTACCTTCCTCACTAGACAAGAAACATTGAAAGTAAACATGTAAAGTGTGAGATAGCTGTGTTTATTAGATTCATTTTAAAATCTGAAGAAAATAACTAACAGCTGATGAAATCTGAAAGCCCCCATGATCACTTCAATTAATATTCAGGATAACCAGGTGAAAGGAATTTCAAGAATAAAGCAGAGGAAATTCAAACCTCAGAACTTCAGCCATCTTCTCCCAGAAATTCTCCCATCTTTCTCAACATTTACCGTTAGCACAGTCCTAACATGACACCCGGAGAAGGCACTGGCACCCACTCCAGTGCTCTTGCCTGGAAAATCCCATGGACGGAGGGGCCTGGTGGGCTGCAGTCCATGGGGTCGCTAAGAGTCAGACAATATTGAGCAACTTCACTTTCACTTTTCACTTTCATGCATTGGAGAAGGAAATGGCAACCCACTCCAGTGTTTTTGCCTGGAGAATCCCAGGGACGGGGGAGCCTTGGTGGGCTGCCGTCTGTGGGGTCGCACAGAGTTGGACACGACTGAAGGGACATGGCAGCAGCAGCAGAGTCCTCTGCAGCTCTCCAGCTATGTCAGCTGGAGACATTACAAAGCACTTTTGCTGGCGGGGCTGGGGGCTCTCTTGGGCCCCAGGGGGGCAGCTCCGTGTCCCAGCCCAGCTCCCTCCTGTGCTGGGAGAGAGCAGGCGCCGTGTGCAGAGTAGGTGTCGGGCAGAGGGCACAGCAGTTGCAGTTGCACGAGGTCCTCGCGTTCTGCTGGAGTGCGTGGACATGCGGCTGTGGTGGAGGGCCCCACAGGGGTGGTGGGCTGTTGGATTTCCTCCTGAGTGGGATGCGGCCCGTGTCTGTGTGTGCACGGGTCACTTGACGGGGTGCCGTCAGGCTGACCCTGCAGTCCTAACCAGCCACACAGCTGTGCAGAGGAAACACAGGCGACTGCTGCTGCTTTGTTTTCTCTCTCTTCTCTCCTCACTGGAGGTAATTTTCTGATGTTTAAACTTGAAGTACATATTAAGATGTGAGTTTTAAAACTTTTTTTGGGTCATTGAGAATTGTAAATCTTATTCTGTGCATTACTGTGTTCCTTTTGTAGTGTTTATTTTTGTCATTTTTTGTTTTCATTTATTGTATGCTTTACAACTAGTATAAATTGAAGGAAAAATGTAAAACTAAATAGTAAAAGAATTTCCCCTTTTTTGTTAAAGTCCAATTTTCTCAAATACTATGTTTTATTTTGTTTAAAGGGGTTTGTCTTGGCTGTTACTATTATGAGAGAAGCAGTTGATGAGTTTCGGCGTTTCCAGCGAGACAAGGAAGTGAACTCACAACTGTACAGCAAGCTTACAGTAAGAGGTGAGCAAGACACTTTTAATCCAGTTTACCATTGGTTCATGTGATCATCATTCTAGAATGAGCATAAATGCAAGAAAACATCTTAGTTTTGTTACTGAAAATAGTATTATGCAGTTACATGTTACCTAATTAATTTTCCTGTGATAATATGATGCATATGATTTCAGGATAGATTTTTATTCTCTCGATACTTGAATGTATGTATGTATATATGAATATAAATGTATATACATGCCCTTAAACACATGCATGCACATGTCCGTATACAGGTGTGTATGTATATATATATGCTTATATATAAATATATGCTCTGTTACAGTTTGTATAGAATGCTTGTGTACTAGACACACATGAAACCCAACTTATGTGTATACATTGTAAAGCATAGCAGCATCTCATTTAAAGTCTCTCTTTGCAGTCTATTTTAAACACAGTCATCAAGACCAGACATCTGGTCCCATGGCCTGAAACTCTACTTGGGAAATAGGACTTTGAGCACCTGAAACAAATGTCGAGATCCAACATGGAAACCGACATGTGCTGGTTCCCCCACACCCTTCACTTGGGCTTGCACCCTTGTCTGGTTTATGTGTTAAGAGTTGTTTATTTGGTTTTCATTCTACTGTAGAAAAGAGGCAGTGTGATAGGGAGAGAATGTATGAAGCTATTATGATAAGCATGAGGACAGGAAAAGGTGCCAGAGAGAAACTCCATGAAGATTCATAGCACCTCAGAGCCTGTCTGAAAGTGGAGTTCAGATGGAGCAGGTTTTAGTCCCTTGTTGGATATATATGATTTGGAACTATGTTGTCTCGTTCTGTGGGTTGTATTTTTTTTTTCTTTCTTGACGGTGTTCCCTGATGCACAAAAGTTTTTATTTTCATTAAGTCCCAAGTTCATCTTTTTTTTTTTTATTTTGTTGCTTATATTTTGGGGTTGTATCTAAGAAATAGTTTGCCAACCCAAAGTTGCAAAGATCTACTTCCATGTTTTCTTTTAGGAATTTTATAGTTTGAGCTCTTACATTCAGGTGTATGACCCATTTACATTTTGTATATGGTATCGCCTCACATTCTTTTGCATGTGAATACAAAGTTGTCCCAGTATCATTTGTTGAAAATATTATGCTTTCTTAATTGAATTGAAAAATTAATTATTAACAAGCTTTGATGCTTTAAATATTGGCATAAAAAAGAAGGTAAGCTTTAGTTTTGGGGAAAAGACTATCCAGAATGGCCAGGTAAATTAGGTATAACTTTGGTTCATCTGTTTTAGAATACAGTGTAGATCTTGGCTTATGTTTTCTGTTGTTTTATATTGTGGAATTTGGACTGAGCAGAGATTTGTTTCTGTGCACTGATTGTATCATTCACAAATGAACAGTGCAGTGATGTCAGCAAAATGAAGAGTAGGCAGCTCCACAGTTCAGTCAGGACCTGGCAGAGCTAACTTGTCAGAACTCTGAAAAACGTCAGCAGCATCTAGGGGATTATTGAATCCGGGAAAAGGCCACTTGAAAATAGTAGGAAAGCTCTTTGGTGTTTTCACCTGCCCCTGCTCTACCCTGTCCCCATCACGGCACCCTCCTTGAAGATGGCAACAGCCAAACCCTAATTTGGGACTCTGGATGCTGACAGTTACCTCTGCCAGGTCCTGAAGAGTGTGGAGCAGAACTCACTTGTGGTGATCCGTTTTTGTCTGTCTAACCTGTGTGGGTGCTGCCCAAAGGACTGACCAGTTGGCTTGTCTGTCTCTCACCTAACCTGCGACTCTGGGCAGGAAAGCTGCAGGTGTTTCTTGTTGTGTAGGCTGGGGTCCAGCTGCAGCGGCGGGGCAGAGATCACAGCCGGGCTCACGCACTATGTCACAGCCAGGCAGGAAGAATCGGGAGGGGATCTGAAGTGCCCGTGTTGGCCCGGGGCAGGGTTGGGGAGGGGTTTGAAAGCCACGCTCAAGGCTGGATGCAGGCTCAGGGCAGGCAGAAGCGAAGGCTGAGGCAAAGCTGAGACCAGGGCTCCCGCACGGAACCATGGTCTGCAGAGGCTGTGAGCAGCTGTGCCTGCTCCTGTCTTTGTCCTTGCTCCCTTCGCTTCCTCCCTCCACCACCTCCTTTTTCCTCACATGCAAGGAGATCTCTTTCAAACACTGGTTGAATATAAGCTAAAGTAAGAAAGACTTGAGAGACCACATTTGACAAAGAATACATACTTTACAAAAATAGTTTAGAAAAGTCACTAGATATACATGGCTACAGCATATACTAAGCAGCAAAACAAACCCAAAAGGGGGAAATATTTCATTTCCTGAGTTAGCAGATGATAATACTCAAAATGTCTGGGTTTCCACCAAAAATTACAGAGAATGCATTTCACAGAAGACATTAACAAAAACTGTCTCTGAGGAAGCCCAGACATTGGACTTCCTCGATAGACATGAACCTCATCCACCTCAGTTATGTTCTGAAGCTAAGGGAGATAGTGGACAGATGCTGAAAGATACCAGAGCAGTGTGTTGGCAGATAGAGCATATCTATAAAGGTATGTCAGTATTTTAAAAGAGCAAGAAATTCTGGTACTGAAAAATACAGTAAATGAAAGAGAAACTCACTAGAGACTTTGAGTAGCAAAATTGAGCTGGCAAGAGAAAGATGAGTGAGCTGAGCCTCCGGTCCCTGAAAATGGTCCAGCCTGAGGAGCAGGGAGTAGAAGGAAGAGCAGTGAGAGGTTCTGAGAGGCTTGTGGGGCAGCGCCAGGGGCACTGAGGTGCCCAGTGGAGTGTGCGCTGAAGAGGAGATGCAGGATGTGAAGGGATGTGGCCATTGACCCCCAAGTTTTGACAAAAGATACAAATCTACACATTGAGAAGGTTCCCTGGAGCCCAGGACGGTCAGAGTGGAGACCCACACCGAGACATAGCATCATCACATGGTCTAAACCCCGGGGCCACGAGCACAGCCTGCGAGCAGCTCGAGAGGCGGCTCCTCCAGTGACAAGCATGCTGCGGGCTTCTCATCAGAAACCAGAGGGCAGGAGTTGGAGAAGGGAAAACTGTCAGCAGAAATTCTGTATCTAGTAAAGCTGTCACTCAGAAGTGAAGGCGAAATGAAGACCTGCCCAGATAAATTTAGAATTAAGGATAGGAGCTCAAGCAGATGCACACACACCCCTGCTCATCACAGCACTACATAGGGTCGGCAGAAGGCAGTGACGTCGGTTGTCTGTCAGTGGATGAAGGGCAAGAGATTGATGGTCTCTTCATAGCCTGGGATATTATTCAGCTATAAAAGTTAATGAAATACTGATACATGACAGAACGTGAATGAACCCTGAAAATGCTCTGCTGTGTGAGAGAAGCCAGGTACCAGAGGTGGTGTATTGTGCGATGTCGCGCTTGAAACTCACAGAGCAGGTAAGTTAATAGAGTGCAGGTGTGGCTACAGGGAAGCAGGGTTGGGGTGCAGTCCTCAGTGGGTGAGGGCTTCTCTGGCAGTGGCGAGCGTGTTGTGGAACTTGGTAGAGTTGGTTGTACAGTACTTTGAATGTAGTAAATGCCACTGAATTATTTACCTTAAAGTGGCAGCTTTTATGTCATTTTTATCTAAAATGGTATAAACTGTTAAGGAAGACAGATTAGTATATATCTTTTGTGTGGTTTAGTCAGTCATGTCCGACTCTTTGCTACCCCATGGACTGTAGCCTGCCAGGCTCCTCCATCCATGGGATTTTCCAGGCAAGAATACTGGAGTGGGTTGCCATTCCCTTCTCCAGGGGACCTTCCCTACCCAGGGATCGAATCTGGATCTCCCATGTTGTAGGCAGATTCTTTACCAACTGAGCCAACCAGGGAAGCATATATCTTTTATAATTCTGTATTATTTGAACTCAAAATACTCTTAAAACAATTTTACTAGTTTCATTTCAAATACAAATGAAAATTTACCTTTTTAAAAAAATTGGTCATCGTTGCCTGTGACCTGAGCAGTGGACATTTCACACATGGGTGACAGTCACGCAGCTGGTGCTGATTGACGCCTGAGTGTGTCAGAGAAAGTGCCCCAGGCGGTGGCGTTGTCACAGTGACAGTGAGTAGCCTGGGACTTGTGCAGAATGGTCTGCCCTGAGTGGCCATCCTTCTGGGTGGAGTTTGTGTTTGAACCTGGACCTGTTGACCTCAAGTCCAGTGTTCTTTCATCTGTGGCATGTTGCCTTCTGGTTGGTTATTCTGCTAAAGATGATAGGTAAGTAAAATTTAGAATGTTAGAAAAAATGGAGTTTATGCTTATTGCTGAGTACAGTTTAATATTTATTTTCTTATCAAGAATATTTGCTGCCTGCTTAACTTATAGTGTTTCACAGTGACCTGTTCTCTGAATGGCATTGATGGCTCTTTCCTCTGTGATTCACTGTAGTCTATTGTAGCATTTTTCAGCATTTGAACTTTTCTTATTTGGGCTTCTCAGGCACATTCTTGTAGAAATACACTGAGAAAATTTTGTGTGTTGTATTTTTTTCTTTTGAAAAGGAAAACCACTTCCACTTGCTAACATCTTGAAGGCGCTTTGGAAGCAGAGAGTATTTTGACTGTGGCACATGATCTCAGTGAATACTGAATGGTTTTTAGTTTGCTCTTTATTTCATTGCCTCATAAACTGCTTTTCTTGTGTGGGAATTTTGCATACCTGTTGGCTTCCACCTTCCTTCCTGTCTCCTTGTTTGTGACTGCTTGTGTTATGCTTTATCTCCTAGTGAGCAGCAACAGAGGAGAGTCACAGAAGAAAGAAATGTAGACTTTCCTGCTTCTTGGCTGCTTTTGCAAAAATTCCCGATGAAGAAGTTTGAATTGTGTGGCCATTCTGCTTTTGGATTCTTGGAATCAATACTGGTTTTTTTCCTGTTGCTAAGGAGTGGTTTGTAGACTGTATACCTTGCTTGTCTTCTTCCAGTTGGCTAGGTCACAATTAATTTCCATATTTGTTTACTAAGTACCCACTGTGTGTCAGC